AAAATCGCATAACTACTAAATCCGGTAATTGAGATGTTCGTTCACATATCTTCCAAGCAAAAGGTATATTATTTTTAGGGGGCTATTTTTTATACCTGCTATATTTATTAACCACACCCCTCTAACAAGATAAACCCTTTAAGCAACGATATCTTAGTAACCACCTGATAAAATTTGATAAAATTTTTTTATTTTGATTCTGTTAGTATATCGATTCAAATAAAAAAAAATTTATCAAATTTGGTCAGATGATTGTCGAGATATCTTTGCTCAAAGTATTAAAAAAACTCAAAATGCCTATCAAAATAATTCTTTAAAACTTTGAGCAAAGATATCTCAACAAACACCCATCCAAATTCGATAAAATCTTTTTTATCAATTAGGCTAAACTCATATAATCAAAAGAAAAAAAAGTTCATCAGATTTGATCAGGTGGTTATCGAGATATCTTCGCTCAAGGTTTAAAAAAAACTCCAGAATAAAAAAGCTGCACCAAATTTTTTTAAAACTTTGAGCGAAGATATCTTGACAACCACCTGATCAAATTCGATGAATAATTTTTTATTTGAATCCTCAACGATTATAGAATTTAAATAAAAAATATTTATCGAATTTGATCAGGTGTTTGTCAAGATATCTTCGCTCAAAGATTTTAAAAAAACTCAAACTGTTGATCAAAATAAAGAAGCTGCGCCAAATTTTTTTAAAACTTTTAGCGAAGATATCCCGATAACCACCTGATCAAATTCAATAAACTTTTTTTTTCTTTTGATTATATGAGTTTAGCCTAGTTTAATAAAAAAGATTTTATCAAATTTGGGTAGGTGGATGTCGAGATATCTTCGCTCAAAGTTTTAAAAAATTGTTTTAACAGGTGTTTTGAGTTTTTTAATACTTTGAGCAAAAATATTTCGACAACCACCTGACCAAATTCAATAAACTTTTTTTTATTCAAATTGACTAAACAAATAGAATTAAAATAAAAAAAAATATATCAAATTTCATTAAGTGGCTGCCGAGATATTATTGATCAAAGGTTTTGTTTTGTTAGGGGGTATGGTTAATAAATATAGGGGGTATAAAAAATAGCCCTCTATTTTTAATTAATCAGCAATTAATTAATAATATTAAAGTGATATTAATATGATTTTTTTATTGTTATATTTTTACCCTACATATTTAATAATGAAAAATCGCCAAAATCACATAATGATAAGTTAGAAACCTAATCAGATAATTGATAAGTTCTTATGCATATCTTCCTAATAAAGTAATTTTTTTAATTTATGATTTTAGGGTGATATGGATAAGATATTTATAAAGGACGGTATCGTAAGAATTTTGAAATTTGTCAATATTTCATTTCAATTAAAAAAATGGCTAAAGAAAAAAAGCTCCCAAAAGCCAGAAGCAGCAAAAAAGCCTGAAAGTCTAAGTCACATAAAAATAAAAAACAAAAATGTAAGAATGTTTATACAACAGTGATAATTGTAATTTATTGAGCATTAACATAAAATTAATAATTATTAGTGAGTATAGATCTTGTTGTGACAGCTGTTGCAAAAGCTATTGCTTCTGTATTTGGTAAGGGGAAAGGAAGGGAAGTGCTGTCAGCATCATCTTCAGGTTCAAGTAGCTCAAGTAGTGAGGATGAAAAAGAAGATAGAGATGGATCAGTTAGCAGAAAAGATAAAGGTAGATCAGTTAGCAGAAGAGATAGTAAAGAAAATAAGTTGGGCAGTAGGAGCTATAGAAAGAAAGAAAGATCAGACAGTAAAAGTGGAAATAGAAGCTCTAGCAGGTCTAGCAGCAGCTCAAGTGAAGATACATTAACAGTATTAATAGAGGAGCAAAGGATACACTTACGGGTAAATATATTTACTATATCAGCTTAAATATTTTGTCTTAACTTTTTTTTTTTTTTTTTTTTTATAATTATTAATAAAAGGACGAAGTAAGAGTATTAATTGAAGGTGGTGCTTTGGCAGACCTCAAGCCGGATCCAAGTAAAAAGTGGGGAGAACAATCGCGTAATATTCAGAGTAAGCTTATTTCAGATATAATAAAGAAATTGCCAGCCTATCGGCAAAATTCTGCTGCGATCGAAAAAATTTTAAAGCAGCATCATAAAACCCAAAGAAGAACAGCCACAATTAATGCCAATCCGGCATTAAAAAAACATAATCGAGAAAGAATAGACAAAAATAGTAAAGTGAATGATGTAAGCATAACATAAAATTTGTTTTAATCATTTTTCTTAAATCAATCCCTCAAAAGTTATTTCATCTACAAATCACTTAGCTGATATATTGGCTAAGTAATTTGTAGATGAAATAATTTTCGGAGAAATATTCTAATTTAAGTTATTATTTTTAATAATTTAGAAGAGAAGGAGACAAAAATCGGTGTCATTTCTTCTAAAAGCTAGAAATAAACAAATAAAAAGATACAAGAAGGCAGATTTGGAGTTGATAACTCAGAGTAGAGGTAGAAATGTTTATCAATCCAATGAAGAGTAGAGAATGGATAAAGAAGCGACAGAGGCAGCAGAAAAGAAGGTTAAGAGGTTAGTTTGTATCGATAAATGGTGGTGAGGACCTCATGTATGTATATATATATATATTTTATTTATTTATATATGAATGTTAAATTAATAAGCCTATCGGCCTAATATTATTTAGCTAAAACAGCTTTTACATAAGCGTATAGACCCGTTTGTGAAACAACTGCAGCCCATAAATACCAAGATGTACGAGCACCATTATTTGGAGGATGTGGATAGAAGAGGGAACCACTAGCAGATTGCCCAAGATGGGCACTATCCGATGAAGCTATTACTAAATACAACCTTTCAGATTATGAATTTGATGCAGACTTTGATACTGGAGACGAAGATCCACGTAAAGATAAGAAAAGTTAGAAAAAAAGCAGGAGTGAACGAAAACATAGTGAGAGCAGAGTTTCGGGTGCCGAGCAAAGTCATACAGAAATTAGTGACAAGCAAAGTCATACGGAAATTAGTGCTGAGCAAAGTCTTAAAAGCAGAGTTGCAGGTGCTGAGCAAAGTCTTAAAAGCAGAGATTCAGGTGCCAAGCAAAGTTGTGCAAGCAGAGGTTCAGGTGTCAGATACTTCGTGCAGGAATTAAAAGGAAAAGAGGTAATTATGATAGAAATGTATTATACACAAGGAGAAGAAGAAAGAATGAAGAAGACAAAGAAGAAAAAGAAGGAGAAGAAGAAGAAGAAGAAGAATCGCCTCTACCTAGCCCTAATGAAACTATTCAATCTGCTGACAAAGGAATGGCAGTACCAGCAGCAAAACCAGCAGAAACAACAACAGAAACAACAACAACACCTGCAGCAACACCAAAAACAGCAGCAAAAACACCAACTAAAGCAACAACGGCAAAAAAAGCCGCAACTGTATCAAAAAAAGCACCAACAGATGAACAAATGGCAGAAACATCAAGAGGCAGTAGAGACCTCCCAATGGA